CTTAGAAAGTTAAAAGGATGAACTAATTCAAAATGGGCATTTATGGGTGAGTGTCGGCTGGCTTGACGCGTCCATTGACTGGATCAAGACCTTGAGCGTGTTATAGGGTATGTGTGTGTGATGTGTTATGTTATGTGTGTGTTAATTTGTCTTTTAATAAGTAGTGTGAGAAAAGACTAACTATTAGTTGCTAGACTCGTTTGATAAACGAATCTAGCTCAAGCTCACTTAAAGCTCGTTTGGTTAATGAGTTGAGCTCGTTTCGGTTCGAAAGGCTCATTAAAGCTCGAAAATATAATTTTTATATAATTTTTTATAGTTCACTCGGTAAAACTCAAGATCAGCTTGTTAAGATTCAAACTCGACTTGTTATTAGGGATAAACGAGTCGAGTTTGAACTTGATTTCAGGCCCGTTTATTTAACAAAGTGTTCGAGCTCGGCTCGCCACGGTTCGTTTATAGGTCATGACACAGACTAATTGTTAGTTGCTCGATTTCGTTATACTATTTTCAAAAAAAATATATTTTTATTAAGAAAGATTTTTATTTATGTTATTTTTTAAGAGTATAACATTATCTTTTAAATTGTATGTTTGTCTGATCATTAAATTTGTCTTAACAATTATTTATCTTTTATTTTGAGAGTACGTACATATAAGGGACTAATTTCTAAATATCAATCAATTTACTAATATATATGCAGTCTTGTTTAAAAATTTGTAAGAATTGCATAATAATTGCATAATCGGATAAATATAAGTTGATCATGTCATTTTCAATACTGTTGTGAGGTTGGTTAATCGATATATATATATATATATATATATAGGGGCTGGTTCAAATAAAAACTATGTCTGGTGTGAGAACCGTGAGAACCATATTTGATGCTATTTTTAATTGTGTATGATGCTATTTTTAATATTACATGGTGCTATCATTTTCATAAATGCTAATAAAAATTTTGTTGCTATTTTTAATCAAATACATCCTAGTTAAAAATAGCACTAAAACACAATTAATCATAGCACTACATACAATTAAAAATAGCGGTTCTCACGGTTCTCACACTAGGACTTGGTTCTCATTTGAACCACATCCTAATATATATATATATATATATATAGTCATTTTTTTAATAATTTACACAGTTTTACAAAAATAAAATAAAATAAAATAAAATATGTACAATATATAAAACAATAGCAATGGTATGTGGATTAAATCAAATAATTAGCCTTCTTTTATTTAGCATATGATATGGCATAAACTATGGAACTTGCCATCTTAGTTCCTAACACGGGGAATTGACTTTTTCATCATGGTTTCTAATTAACCATTTAGTATGAGGATTCAAATTAAATGGACCTCATGGAACATAACATGATTTTTGGAAAACATATAGTCCAAGTTGTATGATATAGACATTAGACATAGCAAAATGTTGTTTAGAAGTGATAGCCTTTGATTTCGCTTTGTTGTGCCAATTTTCAATTTTCCTCATTCCCATTTTCTAATTTGTATCAATATGAGGTTTTGACAAATACATCGTATATATAATAATTGCTGACGAAAAATTAATTGTATAATTTTACATTTTCAGCTCTTTTTCTGTTACATTTATATATGTTAATATTTTTAGCTTTTTTAAGGCTTATTCCTCTCATTTATAACATTAAGCCATACTTTATNACATGTCTTACAGTATCATATGTGTATGTGAATATGATCAAGTACTAGTTAGTATGAAGCTCCTTTCATATAAATAGATAGGCAAACTAAAAGAAAATGTTATTGACAAATGACAATGGTAGGTTGATTATTATTATTATTATTATTATTATTATTATTATTATTATTATTATTATTTATGTGGTAAAATTATATACTTTTATTTATATTAATTTTTAAAGTATTGATATTCCTGTATAAAAATGCATATATATGTTAGAAAAGTTATCTACATCAACTTATTTGAGATGCTTTTTATCCAATCATGAGTTTACAAAGAACATTTTGTAATAAATTATGAAGTAATTTATCGTTGTTATCAAAAAATTGGATAATTATTGGATGTCTTTCGCTGTTATTTTCCAAAGGCATATTCTTACTATAAAAAGAAAAATCATTACTACACAGTTATTATAAAACTTATTGTTTATTAAATTATATATTTATAATTATTATTATCTCACTACTGTATTTTCCTACAGTATGATAATCAATAATAATAATGAAAAAAAAAAGAATAAGATAATTGGATAGAATACAATTGAATTTCATACATTTCCAATTTAATCTAAAATTACCAAAAGACATTGACTAAAAGTTGACAAAATAGACGAGACTTTTCTTAATTAAAAATCAAAGGCTGGCAAAATTATTGACGAATTGTTACTTCGTTACAGTGATAGAGAGATTATTTACAGGGAGATGCTACATCCCATTATAGAACTATTCCGTCGGGGTTTGTAACCTTTAGATCAACTATCCCTGATTTTTAAAATGCTTTTTCTTAAGACGATATGTCCTATATTTTTATTTTGTGTGTAGCATTATTTCGAACAGTTTTGCTATGGAGCCAACTGTTTACTTCATAGCAAAACTGTTATTTCGAATACTGAACTGTTTTTAGGTGATTGGATATACTTCAATCCAGATTTTTTTTAATGAATGGAAATTTTTAAAAAACTTAAATGAAAAATTGGAAGCAAATATAATAGCTATAGTTTATTTGATAGGATAAAAAAAATTAAATTTATGATTGATAGTTAGAATTATCAAGTGAGGGAATTTTTAAGAAACTTTTAGAGATGTATGTATTAAATAATTAGTGACAGAAATTTTATGGAGCGATCCGATGGCTCTCTTGTGAAGCCATCCATAATTTTATATATTGACGCATGTCCAATGTGTATTTATTGTAGGATCACGTGTCAATACACCATTTGTGAATAACTATAACTAGTATGACACCCGTGTATTACGCGGGTGCATGAAAAATAATTTGAACAAAAAGGCAGAAGAGTTTAGCATTGTAGTATATACAATATAAATAAATAGAAGATATCCCGTTAGAATATGGAGTTAGAGCTCGTTGCAAACTCAATTGAATATTTTTGAGTGATGAAATTTGTTACCATGTATACGCCAAAAATTTGGAAACATTGTTAACTCAATTATCGAATAAAAGAATATAAGAAAAATAATTATCAAATAAAACATTATTAACTCAATTATCATATAAAAAATATTGTTAGCTCAATTATTAAATTCAAGTTGGAAAAATGAAGATAGGAGAAAGATTTGTGATCTTTAAATTCAAACAAATTAGGTAATGAAAAAGAGATTATGGGAGGCAATTATGTATGGTGGAAAAATTATTTATTGCACTTTTCAAGCTAATTATATTTCCAAATTTTTCGTCCGAACCTAAATACAAACCATGATATTGTGACATATAGAATTTTGAATTAATATATAAAAGGGGATTAGTGATTAGCGGGAGAGAGATTATTTTAGGAATATGGCATCCAATTGAAGGATTTGATTTTAAGCGAGAGTAAAGTAATATTTTAGAAATTATATTAGTCTGGAAAAAATATAATCCATATTCAAGTTTAGTACTTGCAAGTCAGTATGATAATTAATAACTGTCAATGGTGTTTTTGTCCGTTATAGAATCGCGTTGAGTTTTCTAATATATATTTTGTGGGCACTGCCCAACTTAGTGTTGAATTTTCATGTAAATCATTGGAAAAAACGTGTTCTTTTTTGTCTCTTATGAAATTGTGTTAAGAGTTTTCTAATTTATACACGAAGAAGACATGAAGATATAACTCTACTAAAATAGTAA